CCTCTTCAGATTTTTCCATGGCACTACACATGGAGAGCGTAGAACTTAAAACAGGGCTGAATGAGCAAGGACAGTTAGGGTATTCCTGAGATAGGCAGGAACCTCTGCCAGTCCTTAAGGGAAGCAAGGTCCTACTACTGATGGGGTGATGTTGAGAGTTACCACCCCATAGACTGGTTTCTTCATTCAGTGCAACTAACGAGGAAGTCAGCTAGACTGCCTAAAAAGAAAACCACAGTGTGTGTATCTCTGTCACCTCAGGATACCTTCCACCCCGCCTTTCCGCAAGCGCTGGTCCACATAATAAGCAACAGCATCCTTCCGACGCCTGAGAGGCCCAGCGGATGTAGGGAGTACGCGGAGAATGCAGAGAATCTAGGCAGACAAAGAATCAACTCTCTTCGGTGTTAATAGCAAAGCTGAGCCTGGCTGGAGCGCAGGGCAGGAGTAATGGTGGGGTTGTGGTGACAAATTTCACCTGGACCTGGACAGCCAACCAAGCCAGCTCCCAAAAAGGGCTCGAGCCCCGACTGGAAGTGGCCCCTAACTCCGGTAACCTAAACCCGCCGGCGAGAGCTCTGGACCCGCACCCACCTGGGGCACCCATGTCCAGTAGTAGCCCAAGTAGAGGGCAGCGCCAAGTCCCAAAAACAGAGAGAAGGACTCTGTCCAGGTGTCATCCTGGGGGCTTTGAGAGGAGCTCAGCATCTTGTGTTGCTGTTTCGATTCCCAAGTTCTTGACTGGATCCGGAGCTTGAACTTCGATTAATGGGCCTGCAGGTGCGCGCTGGGCCCCGCCCGTTACACGCCATTGGACGGCCTGTGCAAGTTCGGCCTCCACCGCCTGGCGGTTCGGGGATGTGGGCCCCGCCCACAGGCGGCGGGCGTGGCGAAGGGCGGTGCTAGGACGTCGAGTAGGTGGGCGGGCTGCGCCGGCCACTGCGTAGAACTGACCCGACTGACCTGCGAGTGGATTTACTTGCTTGCGGCCCTGGTCTCGCGCCTGTGTGCCTCTTCCTTCCGCTTCACGGTCACTGGCCGTGCAGCCTCTTGTGAGAACTAGCGACCTCGCCTGCACTCGCCATCTTAGCGAGGGGCAGCTCCAGTTCCTTTTTTCTCAAACCCTGCCCTGGCGGCGCGGCGAGGCTGGCAGCTTGGCTAGAGTCCCCCAGCCATTCATCAGTCACACACAAAGGGCACAGCCACTCGTGTGGTAACTCCTTCCAGTCCCAGTGTTCAGCCGTTCACAGTGGTCCTCGCACTAGGACACATTCACACTGTGACACACACGGTGTCACTTAGGGTTCAGCTACTGAATGAGTGGTGTTTCACACAGTGTCACATTCACATGGGTTAAAGCCACGCATAGTGTCACTCTATGCTGGCCACTTTGTAAATGTAAAGTAGATATTTACTCATCACTCTACCAGCTTCGATGCTGCTCCTGTCAGTAATCTACTAGAGCAATGACTCAATCCCGACTGAAGATTGGAATTATGTGTGAGTTTCTAACACTAGAAGTGCCCAGGCCCCACCTCCTGATATGGTTGGTCTGGAGAGGAGCCTAGGTATTATCACTTACAGGTTTTCTGGAAGACTGTAATATGTAGTCAGGGTTGAACCCCTCAATAAGGGTATGATGCTAGATAAGGGAAGTACTAGCTGCTGTGGGAGCCCTGGGGAAGGTGCCCAGACCTCATGGATCTGAGAAAGCATACCCAGATGTTAAATAACAATACATTTAAGGTGAAATTTTTAAAAAAAAGAAAAGGAGTTTCCAAGGCAAGGTGGAGGAGGGGACAGAGTAGTTGTTCCAAAAGAGGGAACAGCACAAACAAAAGCCTGGATGTGAGGCTTCTGAAAGGAACCAAAAGAAACTGGGTGTTGCTGGAGCATATGAGACGGTCAGGAATCTGGTGTGGGCAGCTGTATAAAGGATGCTAGAGCTTATCCTAAGGGTGGAGGAAAGCCATCCAAGAGTTTTAGTGGGTGACATGATTGGGCTTCCCAGTGGTACTAGTGGTAAAGAACCTGTCTGCCAACGCAGGAGATATAAGAGATGCAGGTTCAATCCCTGGGTGGGGAAGATCCCCCGGAGGAGGAAACGGTAACCCACTCCAGTATTCTAACCTGGAGAATACCATGGACAGAGGAAACTGGCAGGCTACAGTCTAGGGTCACAGAGTTAGACACAACCGAAGTGACTTATCATGCATGGGTGACATGATCAGAGTTGTTTTAGAAGAAACATTCAGGCTACTTGGAGAATGGACTGGAGGAGGATGAGAATGGAAGGAGATCAGTTAGATGCTGTTAACAGAACTTTGGCATGGAGTGTGGCTGCCTGGCCTGGGGGAAGCTCAGGAGAGGAGTGAAGATTATTAAGATAGGAGGCAGAATTGATAGGACTTGGTAGTAGGTTAGAGGTGGGGGAAGAAGGAGGAATCATGAATGACCCCCAGTTTTCTGACTATGTAGATTCAGGGATGCGTATGGGACTTGACCCTGGGATAGGGAAATGGGGGGAGGGGAAGTTTTGAGGAGGAAGATGGTGTATTCTGACTCAGACACATAGAGGCTGGGGTGTTGATAGGTGTTCTAATTGTGTTTTCTTAGATTCTGAATTTGTCTATTTGGCATCAATTAATCACAAGGCCAAACTAACAGCCAGAGTTGTTCACCTCCCTCCTGCAATCCAGAGGCTATCCTCTGGGATTTCCCTGATGACCCAGTGGTTAAGACTCCCAAGTTTCCATTGGGGGCGAGAGGGGGCGAGAGGGGGCGAGAGGTTGATCCCTGGTTGGGGAACTGAGATCCCACATGCAACACGGTGCAACCAAAAGATTAAAAAAAAAAAAAATTCCTAGAGGCCATACTCTGAACCACTTCCTTTATCCAACTCTCACACACCAAACCAATATTTTCTGTTTCCTAAATCAACCGAGGACCAGGGACTCGTCAACTAGGGACAGCCTCTCTGCCCCCAGAGCCCTCTGAAGTTTTTCAAGCTAGTCAACCCTAAACTGTTCACCCTGCCCTGTCTTGCTTTTCTAGCTTAATAAAGTCTGTGGGCTGTCTTCCCCTTGCTCCTTTCTGGCTCTGACCAGCTCTGGTGCTTCCCTGTGTGGTCCTGTCCGGTAAGCTGTGCCTCTTCTTCCTAAGGGAACTGTGACATTAAACTTCTCTTTCATTGGCACTGACCTCTCTGTGCTGTCATTCAGTCACCTTTAAAACTTAAAATCTGGCACAAGTCAGTAGGCTGTTCAGCTCCAGAAGTGTTCTGCGGCTAAGAGATTGTATTCGAGATATGCTAGTTATCAGCATTCAGATGATACATTAACTTGTAGGATGGCCATAACAAAGTGCTGCAAGCTGGTATCTTGAAAAACAGAAATTTATTGTCTCACAGTTCTGGAAACTGGAAATCCAAGATCAAAGTGCCAGAAGGATTGGTTCCTTCTGAGAGCAATGAGGAAGACTCTGTTCCACACCTCTCTTCTAGCTTCTGGGGGTTCCCTGGAAATCTCCAGCATTCCTTAGCATGTAGAAGCTTCACTCTAATTTTTGCCCGAATCTTCACATGCTGTTCTTCCTGTGTGTGTTTGTGTGTGTGTGTGAGAGAGAGAGAGAGAGGGAGAGAGGGAGAGAGAGTGTGTGTGTGTGTGCACACATGCCTGTGTATGTGTGTCCACATTTCCATTTTTTATTGGAAAAAAATATTGGATTAGGGGCCCAACCTACTCCAGTATGACCCCATATTCACTAGGTATATCTGCAACCACCCTATTTCTAAATACAGTCACCTTCTGAAGTACTAAGGGTTAGAACTCTAACATATGAACTTTTGAGGTACAAAATTCAACCCAGAAGAGATAGTGATGGAAGCTATGTGAATGGAAGAACACATGAGCAGATGGGGAGTGAGGAGAGAGCCCAGAGGAACTCCATGACACGAGAAGAAACTAAAAAGAAAAGACTGGAGAGAGAGGAATGGTGTCGCCAAAACCAACACTACCATGACCAAAGGAGGTAGTGTCCAGCAGCATCCACCACAGGAAGCAAGACCAGATGGCTTTGATGAGAGTGAGTTTGTTGTTGCAATGGACTCTGATGAGAAGGAGCTGATTGGGAGAGGGAGAAGTTGAAGATTCCAGGGAGATAAGAAGTCATTCACTAAAAAGGTCTTGACCCAGTGAGGGAGGAAGTAGTCTGAAGCCTCGGTGGAGGAACTGGCCACTGTGAGAAAACTGGGGATACTCCATTTTACTGGAAAGCTACAACCACACACTGCATCACTGTACTGGCAAACCATGGCCCTTAAGATGGTACTTTCCCAGGTCTCCTCCCCCCACCATGGCTCAGATGGAGCGACCTCTCAGAGATGGGTGGTCACAGTCACACAGATACCTTCACTGGAAGCCGACAGTTGAGCATCACTGTCATCAAGTGACATCAAGCTGTCACTTGAGCATCACAAACAGGAAGAGTTCACACAGATACCCTAACACACACTACTAACATCCTGTACTGTCACACACAGAGTCAGCCAGTCATGCACTGGCCAAACTCTCTCAAGTATTGTCATACTGGATACACGACCACACACAACACCCCCTCCCTACGGTGTCACCAGCCCCTCATCCACACAGCTACATACACAGTCACAATCCCACAGGCTAACAGTAAGTTACCTTCTGTCTTGTCACACACATCTGGGTCCCAGCAGGGAGTGGTCCCCCAGTTAAACGTGTTTCTTATATACATCAGCTTCATCATCTGTCTCTCTGCCTCTCTAGTTGTATCTGTCACGCGCGCTCACCCACATACATATGCACACACCACACACTCTCGCCGGGTGTGGGCCAGGGTCTGCGGGGCGGGGCGGGGATCCTGCCCGCGGCGCTGGCGCTCCGGACTCTGCCCGGACCAGGGCGGCGGCCGCAGCCCGGAGGACGACGTGGAGCGGCCACGTGGAGCGGTCCGGGGGAGGGCCAGGCGGCGGGAGCCGAGGCGCAGCGGCGGCGGCGGCGCACAGCCTCCAGCGACGACCCAGACGGACCGGTGCCGCCGCAGGTGGGTGCGAGCCCCGCCCGGTGGGTGGCCTGGGACCCCGCAGCGGGCAGCGGGGCGATGCTGCGCGCCGCGGGGCTGGACCGCGGGCGGGGGCGGCCTCCTGGCTCCGGGTCGGATGCTGAAGGCGCAGTCCCTCGGCATCCCTTGCGGCTCGGACGCAGTAGGAGCGCCGGCTCCCGCCTCTGGGCGCCTCTCCGAGGTTACCCCTGAGAGCAGGTAGAGGGAGGGCCTGGAAAGGGAGACCTGAAACCTGAGCTCCTTTGCGGTGATGGGGCGGGGTGGGGGGAGGGGAGGGTGAAGTTCATTATCCCCCCCCCCCCGCCCAAGGGCTTTCCCCTTCTGGTCTTATTCGTTGCTCTGACAACCTCGGGGGGAGGGGAGGCTGGCAGGAGTTTCGTCCTCATTTGACAGAGGAAGAGAAGGAGGAGCCGAGGGTTATCACCCTGGTGGAAGTGGCAGGGGAGCCCAGCTCTCAGGTGGGGGACTTCTTGGTCTGTATAGCCATTGCCTCTTCTCTTGCGGGGGGCGGGGAGTGAGGGTTGCGCTAGAGTCACAGGCGGCTCTGGAGGGAGGAGTTAAGGGAGAAGATTGAGTTCCAAATAACTTCCGACAGTATTAGCTGGAAATGGAATGGATGCCCTGTGAGGTGCCAGGCTTCTGTCCTGGGAAGTCCAGTGGAGGCTGATGGCCATTGACAGGGGTGCTGTGCAAGTAGTTTTGCAGTAGATGGAAAGTCAAGCAATGAAAAGGCTCTCCCACAACCTAGAGTCTCTGAAATACTCACTGGCAATCACTCTACCTATATTTTCCAATGCATCCTCCCCGAGCCCCTTCCAGATAGATATCGTTATCCTCATTTTTTTGGTTGTTGGTTTTTGTTTTTTTTTTTTTTTTGTATTTTTTAGGCCTCACTATCGGGCATGAGGGGCTTCCCATGTGGCCAGTGGTAAAGAACCTGCCTGGCAATGCAGGAGACGTGAGAGACACCAGTTCCATCTCTGGGTGGGGAAGATCCCCTGGAGGAGGGCATGGCAACCCACTCCAGTATTCTTGCCTGGGAAATCCCGTGGACAGAGGAGCCTGGTGGCTACAGTCCATAGAGTCAGGCAGAGTTGACACGACTGAAGTGACTTAGCACACACATGGGGCATGAGGGATATTAGTTCCCCAATGAGGGATCAAATCTGAGTCCCCGGCAACCAAGCCCCCTGCACTGGGAGCACAAGGTCTTAACCACTGGACTGCAAGAGAAGTCCCTATCCTCATTTTTAAAGTGAAGGCCCCACAACACCTGCTGAGATCACACTGTTAGTACTATGACAGACTGGATTTGATCAGAGTTCCAACTACAAGGCCAGGCTGTCCTCCCATGCACTGATGATTGAAGAAATCAAATACTGGAGGGTCACTGTGAGTGTGTGTGTGTGTGTGTGTGTGTGTGTGTGTGTGTGTGATGTAAATAACTTTATTGGATTATATAACAACTCTAATAATTGTGGTGGCTTTTCTGTGGTCATTAGGGTAAATTGTGTTTAGGCACACTGTAGTTATAGAAAATGATTAGGAACATATTTATTTGACAGGCAGTTTTCAATAACTGCTTTATTTCTGTTGCTCACAAGGGTTTTCCGGGTAGTTCAAAAGGTAAAGAATCTGCCCACAATGCAGGAGACCCAGGTTTGATCCCAGAGTCAGGAAGATCCTCTGGAGAAGGACATGGCAAACAACTCTTCAATAGATAGTTAGAAATGTGAAAGGGTGAAGAAATCACATTACATCAACCTCATTAAATGTTACTTGAGCTGCCTTAGCCTGGTGGTGCTGGTGGTTTAGTCACTCAGTTGTGTCTGACTCTTTGTGACCCCATGGACTGTAGCCCATCAGGCTCCTCTGTTCATGAGATTTCCCAGGCAAGATACTGGAGTGGGTTGCCATTTTTTCAATAGGGAATCTTCCCAATGCAGGGATCAAACCTGGGTCTACCTGCATTACAAGTGTATTCTTTACCTACTGAGTCACCAGGGAAGCATGCCTTAGTCTGGCTTCCTCTAAATCATAGAGGTGAGTTACCCGGACTAAAAATGTCACATTTGGAAGCATGACTTAGGATTGAGAATTTCAAGACAGAGACAGCAGAGCCTTAGTCTAAGCCCAGGGACCTTCTGAGAGCAGAGCCCTATGTGACTGCCAAGAAGCCAATCTATCATTATGACAACTGACAAATCACCTCAAAGCTTAGTGGCTGAAAACAATAGCATTGACTATGCCTGTGAGTGTACATTCTGGGCAGAACTGTGAAGACAAGCTCAGTTCTGCTCTGGCAGAGTTGGCTGGGATAGCTGGGAGGCTGGGGCTTGGAATCATCTGCAGTTTTGCTCTCTCACCTGCCTGGCCCTTGGGTGGGAAGTGAGCAGCTGGGAGCTGCAGGAATCACAACCAGGACCTCTCAAGCATCCCTATCCTTATGTGCTTCCTCCAGGTGGTCCTTTCAGTACAGCAGACTTCTTCCACAGTGGTTCAGGGTGTAGCTGCATGTCAAGAGAGAGAGAGAGAGAGAACCAGAACCAGGCATAAACCCTGTTGCCTTTTATGACTCAGACTTGGAGGTTACGTGGCATCATTTCCACTATTCATTATAAGTGAGTTCCTAAGTCTGGATCATATACAAGGAAAGGGAAATTTGACTTCAGCTATTTCTCACAAGAAAGACTTGGTAGATATGTTTTTCTTTTTTTCCCCTTTCCTTTTTTCTGTATTTTATTTGATTTTTATTGGGGTATAATGGCTTTGCAATGTTGTGTTAGTTTCTGCCATACAATGAAGTGAATCAGCTATTTGTTGTTTAGTTGCTAAGTTGTGACTGACAGTTTTGCAACCCCATGGACCATATAGCCCACCAGGCTCTACTGTCCATGGGATTTTCCAGGCAAGAATACTGGAGTGGGTTGCCATTTCCTTCTCTAGGGGATCTTCTCGAGCCGGGGATTGAAACTGCATCTCCTACGTGGTCAGGCAGGTTCTTTGCTGCTGTGCCATACATATACATATATCCCCTCCCTCTTGAACCTCCCTTCTACCCCCTCATCCCACCTCTCTAGGTCATCACGGAGCATGGAGCTGAGAGCTCCCTGTGCTAGACAGCAGCTTCCCACTAGCTATCTGTTTTAGCTATGGTAGTATATATATGCCAATGCTACTCTTCCAACTCATCCCACCCTCCCCTTCCCTCACTAAGGGTAGACACGTTTTTCAAACCAGCACCATTGGCTTAATGAGTGACTGGATTAGGGGGATCTGATGGGTGCTTCTCCTTTATGCCTGAACGGCTCCCACCAGTCATTCTTTGTAGTTTCCAAATGTCCTCTTTTAAAAGGCAACTCCTAATGGTGATAATGCATTAAGCCTGGATAATAGGTTTTGGCAGCTCTGGGGGATTTAAATTATTCCTGTGCCTCCTGCTGGCCCAGGTCCTGACAGTAAACAGATGGGGAAGAGAAAGCAATTTGAAGATATCCAGGTGGGGAGACCAGAATTGTAGGTATGTGTGAAGCCCCTGCAGAGCAGTCCAGAAAAACTTCTGGAAGGAAAATGCCTTATTGTATAATATCACCAGGTGCTACGTTTTAAACATCTTGTCTTATTGAACCTTCACCACACACTGGGAGATGCTCTCATCATCCTCATGTTACAGATCAAGGTTCCAAAACACAAAAGTCACACAGTTGGTGAGTTGTAGAGTCTGCATTTGAACTTAGGCCAACCTGAGGTTAGGGCCCATACTGTTAAACTTTGGGCTACATCCCCTATTCCTTAGCAATTCTGTGTTTCTGTTTTTCTCTTAAATTGTCATTTTAACATTTGTATCTTTTCCTATTTACATGAATATGTAAGTGTTATGGAGAAAAAAGAATGAGTAATTTTACCTAATATTATCATCTTACTTACAAGTTAATACCTACCATATAGTAGGTGCTCAATAAATACAAGAATTGAATAAAACTAGCCCTTATTCTATAAAACTTATATTGACACTTGCCTTCCCTTTGAAGGCTCACCTCCTTGGTCCTTGTCACCAAAGGTCTTGACTTGGGCTGCTGCTTCCCATGGCGTCCTCTGTCGCATCCAGACCAGAGTCTATGCCTACTTGTCATTCTCCTTTTGGCCTCTTCTGGCCAGGCTGGCCCTTTCAACCATTTTGTGCCCCTATTTCCACCTTAGAGCCTGGAGCCCTCAGCCTCCTCTCTTCAAATGCGCAGCATACCGGGTACCAAGAATTGGGTGAGGCAGCCCTCCTGTCCACTCACCTAGACCCTCGCTAAGCCATTGCTTCCTAACCACAAACCCCCTGTGGGCAGGGCCTTTCCTCTAATCCTCACCCTTACATAATGCTGCAGTCCTTGGATTTGCACTCAGTCTCCATGGGGTTTCCATGGAGATTTCTGTCTCAAAGCCCCTGCTGGGTGTGGTGGTGAACAGCACCATCCTGAAAACCCTAATAGCTTTGAACCCTGTTCCCTCCAGTCCTTCATCACTTGTCTTCTGAACTTGATTCATGGTCTCTTTCATATTACAGAAGTTCATACTTTTAATATACTCAAATCTGTCCATTTTTTCCCTTTAAAACAAATTAGAAATACTTACCATTTTTAATGGCTCTGTCACATAATATGATTTGCTTAGCCTGTCTAAATGTTACACATTCAGGTTGCTTACAGTTCTTTGACTACTATTAACAGCACAGCTATAAATATCTTTATAATTTCTTTTCTATTTGTGTTTTTCCTTATGTAATCCTCAGGATGATACTGTTGGATCAGAGTGCAATTTATGGCAATTAATTGGCAGGTTGCTCTAGAAATAGTTCAGGTTGATAGCTTTAGTTTATAGTTTATAGCTCCTAAAACAACATAGGTTAATACTAATTCAATTTCTTCAAGGGTTATAGGACTTTTAAAATTTTCAAAAAAACAAAACAAAAATTGCTATTTCTTTTGATGTCA